TCTCAGAGGAGCCAAGCCAGGCACCCTCAGGAGACCCCTACTCATCACTCTCTCCTGGCTGCATTCTGATCAATCCCACCTCACTCTCCATGAAATCCCAGCCTTTGAAGAGAACCTGCCTCACTAAAGCCAACCCAACTGTCCATCACTTGTCTCTCCCTCATGTGTATCTTCCTTCTTCACCTCAAGGTAAGTGAGTGGAGGCCAGGTTGTCCTTGAGAGGGTGTTAACCTCCTTCTATTCCAGTGAATCACACCATGGACCAAAGTAGAGATCAAATCACCTAATGAGCATGATGTGTTCTTAGTAATGGGAGGATAAAATCTTAGTAACCAAAATGAAACCTTAAGGACAAAATCTCCTCAAGCCTAGTTATTACCACCAACTTCCTATCACCACATAAGTTTTCAGATCCCAGAAAAGATGAAGACTGAAAAACCACACATTGTAAAAGTTAGTGGCAAAAAGAAAACCCAATAGCTAAGTACTCCAGAGGAGAGAGAAAAGAAAATAAAAAACAACCAGAATATACTGAGGATGTAATAAGCATGAAGCATTGCACTGGACATTAGGTAAAACACAGCAACACAGAACACAAAATATTTCACTCTGTGTTCTGAATAATGACAGAGACAAACAATTTGAGAAAAGTTAAATTTTTAAGCAAGTTTAGAATGTTGGCAAATTTGGGGAGAAACTTGGGCAAAGTTGTATGGCAAGTGAAAGAAATATCACTTACCAGTGACTCTAGATATTAACCTCTGTATTTATTATATAGCTGGTCCAGGCCAAAACAAGTCCTAGGAAGGCAGAAAAACATAAACTATGGTCAAACTCCCAAAGTTCTCACAGGCAGAAATGGAGGAGAAAGACTCAATTCAAAGTAGGACATGGAGACAGAAGGGGAGGCCATGAAAGGCCCAAAGAGGACCTCCGCTGGTGCGAGTGTCACCATGTGTCCTCCAGCAGTGATCAGGAAGCATGGGGAGAAGCCATGTTTGCAAGGATCCCGGTGGGAAGTGATAGCAAGGAGAAGAGATGGTAAGAGTCGGGGAAAGAATGCCTGGGACAATGTGAGGTCATATCAAAGTGGGTCTGGGAGTGACAAGGGGGTTTGAAAGGCCCCTAAAGAGTTTAAGATGCAAATTGTAATTTCTGGAGATCATTCAAGCAGGTGGGCATGAGGAATGGTCTAGGGTGTGTGCCTCTGGAAGCAGAACCTTCCCACTGATAGTAAATGGCCTTATTACAACAAGGGAATCCAATGAAACTGTGCAACCTTTTGTACATTTCATGAGAAATAGTTTTGTACCATTCTCAAAAGTTGGTGATCCAACTAAGCCAAGTTTTCCAAAGGTGTTTTTGCACTGTAAAACTTCTTTTCAAAGCTAACATTTGTCTTTCTGTGCCTGGCTTATTTCAATTAACATAATGACCTTAGGTTTAGTCATCTGTCCCAAAATACAGGATTTTCTTTCTTTTCCTGGCTGTTGTCATAAAGCACATGCATACCTCATTTTCTTTACCCATTCTTATATTAATGGGCACTTAGGTCAATTCTCTGTGCTATTTTGAATAATGATGCGATATACTGCAGATAATTCTTCACCAAATGGGCCTCATTTCGTTTGGTTATATACTCAGAAGTAGGAGTGACTGATTATATGGTAGTTACAGTTCAATTCACATTGTTTGCTACAGTGGCTGCACTAATACACACAGTACCCATGTGCACCTTGGTTTTCTTTCCATTCCCCTGCATTAATTCATTCTTTCTCTTTTCTACATCAGCCATTCTAACAATAGGGAATGGGGATACAATACCACATGGTCTCATGCAAATTTGGAATCTAAAAATGAAGATCTTTTTGAAGTAGAGTAGAGTGGTGGTGATCAGAAATTGGCAGTGGTATAGGGAGGGGATTGAGAGATGGTGGACAAAGGATATGAATGTAAGCTAGAGTATGAAAGTTCAATAGTTCTATATTTGACTATTGAACATGCTAAGAAAGTGGATATTAAATGTTATGACCACAGAAATATTACAGTGTGGATAATGCATATTATAATTAGCTAAATTCAGCCAGTCCATGGTATACATATACTTAAGTATATTGTAATGTACATAGTATATAAATACGTCAATTTAAATACATTTGAAAATATATAACATTTATTCAAAATAATGCTGTACAAATTTTCATGTAATTTCCTAATGAAAATATTTCAAAGTGTATTTCCCTGTCCTGCAAATGAGAGCCCCTGTAAGGAACATGATGTTCATGTGTCTTTGCTAACACTCTGGCCAGCACATTTTCCAACATAAGTCAACCTCATCTCTTGTACACTAGTGCATAGGTCTAAATACAATTCTAAAATATTGTATAAAACAAAAACAAAGAAACATTCAGAAGTAACACCTGGTTTACAGAAGACACTGAATTTATTTAGATTTTCATAACCTGGACAACATTTTTATTAAGAAAGCCAATGCATACATTTTCTCATATTTAATTTTTGTTCTATTTGTTTAAGGTTATGATCAAAGAAAACTTCAGCATTTTTTCACAGGTTTAATTCCAGAAAACAGTGCCCTCTCTTTTGAGGATCAGATGCATGGGAAGCAGAATCCTCCTGCATTGTCCCCCTCTGACACTGCAGAGCCTGAGTGCACTGTCCCTGCACCTCTGCCTCTGTGCAGATTGGTGCACCTTTAGGGAAGCAGTGAGGAGGAGACAGTCTCTGGCTTCAGGCAACTCTGGCTATGTTCTGCTGATGCTCTGCTCTCTCTGGTGCATGGCTCAGGGTCTCTGCTCCACAGTCCTCTTCATTCACTACACAGGTGTGCAGTCTTTACCCCACTGATCAAGTGCAAATTGTATGTGACTTATGACTGCCCTTGGTCTAAAGATGAGGAGATGGAGGCTCAGCTGGAAGCTAATCAAAGGGTGTAGGATCCTTGTGGGTCGAGGTCTATGAAGCAGTATTTGGGCCACAGTGACACAGCAATTCTCCTGCCACATTGATTTTTGTGTACTATTATGGGTTAGGACTTTTTGTTTGTTAGTTTATTATTTGTAAAGCACTTCATTTTTAGAATGTGGAAGTCATGAGTGCCCACTTGCCTTCTGTTCCTGTACTGCTATCAGTCCACTGAGCCTTCTCCAAACCCCTACAGTGAGTGTGATTTCTTGCACTTTAGTGCAAGAACACTGAGAACCAAGATGCTGACATCCCCAGGGCCACTGTGTCTGGCTGTTGTGACGTGACTAAGAGAGTGCTACTCTAGTTGCAAACACTGTGCCCTTTGCCCTGTATCAAATGTCCAACCATATCCACGGTGCCTACAAGATCAAATCTCCTTTACAGATAAGGTTACTATTCCTCCTTGGTTAGAGTCACTTGTATTTGATACTACTGACCACTCTCTCTCTCTCAAGATGCTTACAAACATTTTAGTCAGTGCTTTTCTCTAGTTTCCCTTTAATTTAGCATGAAAGGTAGTATTTTCTCCCAAGCTTCTGGTTTCTCTCTTTCTGAAACTTTAATACTATTTGCCCCTCATGTCTGGTGATATTTTTCTGGCTCTCCAGGATGCTAGATGACTAAGCATCTGCCAGTTGTTCCAACAATGGTTCAGTAACATCCATCAATTTTATTGTCATCACCCAGGATACTACTCTCTTAGTGCTGGGGAACACAGCTCAGAAAAGGGGTTAAGATTCAGTTTCCTGAGTATGATTGATTGGATTTAGTAATGATAATGTGACTCTGTTTTCCTTTCAAAGGTAAAGAAATACATTATTGTTTATAACACTATATAATACTTCAAGTCATATTATTTTAGTCTTCATGTCATCGAGTTACCAAAGTCAAGTATTTTTTTTGGAAACCAATTCATACATATTCCTCATAATTATGATATAAAACTGATCTTCAGAATGCCTTATATATGAACATATTTATAATCTGTAACTTTGTTTATAATAAAAGATTTTTGTAGAGATGAAATGAAAATCACAGAAATGTGACTAAGGCAGAGAGCATAATGAAGATGTCTTAGTCTGCTTGGGCTGCCATTAGCTATTTCTGCAGGGTGAATGGACCATGCCAATAATATGTCCTTAAAGAAAAACAACAGGGAACATCAGTAACTTCCACCATGTATTTAGCTGGAGGCCTTAAACCCTGTTGTAGGAGGGAAAATAGCACAGCAGCTGGGAAGAGGAGCACAGCAATCCTCCATAGAATTAAACCTACAGTTACCACAGGGTACAGAAATGTCACTTCTAAGTCTACACCTAAGAAATGGAAAGTAAGGTATTAAGAGGTAATAGACACCAATGTGCATAGCAGCTACAGTCACAATAGCAAACACATGGAAACAATGTTTGCATTAATTGAGATGGATGTATAAATATATTTTTATACATGAATCATAAAGGTAGGAAGTTTTAACATATTATTCAGTAAAGGCATTTTTAAAATATGATGTAAGAGAAATACTCTAATCACAGAACTATGACTGTTGCTAGATTCCAATTTAGTTAAATAAAATTGAATATAGACAGAAAGTAGAATGGGGGGTTTCCTTGGGAATGAGAGAAGGACAAGAAGATATTTAATAGGTATAGGTCAAGTTTGCAACATGAAACTATTATGGAAATGAATGATAGTGATGGTTGTATAACATTACATATGTACTTAATTCCACTGAAATATATGTAAAAATTTGGGAGTTACCGAATTTTACTTTTGTGTATCTTATCATTAGATAAGTTTGGAAAGAAGAAAATGAGAGAGGATTGCCTAAAATAAATTCTACTTCATGCATTCTTTCAGGAAACAAAATGTACATAAGATATATAGTTGCATGAATCTATTTTGTATCATAAATACACACTCGTCAAAAAACAAAAGGGAATAAAAGAAAAGGAAAAGTCCTATTTATCCTCCAAATGTGTCTCCTTTCTTCCAGTCATATATTAGAGACAGATTCCATGGAGAGAGAAAATGTGAGTTTTCCCAACACTTTTGTCCTGCTGGGCTTCTCAGAGTTTCCGTGGCTGGAGAGGCCCCTCTCTGCAGTGGTCCTGGTCACCTACATCCTCACCCTGGTGGGGAACAGCTCCATCATCATCCTCTCCCTGGTGGACCCCAGGCTCCAGATGCCCATGTACTTCTTCCTGGACAACCTTTCTCTGCTGGACCTTGGCCTCACCTGCACCATTGTGCCCCAGCTGCTGGCCAATCTGTGGGGACCAGAGAAGAGCATTGCTGCCTGGGGCTGCATCACACAGGTCTTCCTTTTCTGCTGGACAACTTCCACTGAATGTGCCTTACTGGCTGTGATGGCCATTGATCGTTATGTGGCCATCTGCCAGCCACTCCGGTACATGCTCATCATGCATCCCTGGGTGTGTGTGAATATGGCAGCTGCCACCTGGTCCAGTGGTCTGGCCATTGCTCTGCTGCAAGCCACACTCACACTCCATCTCCCCCTCTGTGGACACCACACCCTGGACCATTTCTTCTGTGAGATACCTGTGCTCATCAACCTGGCCTGTGGGGACACCACAGCTAATAAGCTGGCCATCATATTGGCATCTATCCCACTAGGAATGGTAAGTCCTCTGCTGGTGGTCATCTCCTACACCTTCATTACTAGAGCTGTACTGAAGCTACCTTCAGCTGAAGGCAGGCACAAGGCCCTCAGCACCTGCAGTTCCCACCTGCTGGTTGTCACCATGTACTTTGGACCAGGCACCTACTTGTACCTCCAGCCTTCAACCAAACGTTCCCATGCCAAATTCATGTCCTTCTTCTACTGCATCATTGCCCCAGTGCTCAACCCACTCATCTACACCCTGAGAAACAAGGATGTGAAAACAGCATGGAAGAGGATCCTGCAAACCCAGGGTGGGGTGAAGTCTATAAAAGCCAGAAGATCACTGTCTGTCTCCTAATCAACAACATCCACACATCAATAAACACTGGCATATCATATCTAATTTTCCAAAAGAGTTTCCATGACCTCCAAAACAGTTTCCCAATTCTCACGGTCAGCCTTCTTGATGACTGGAAAAACATTCTGAACTAGAAAGTTTGCTTATCATTAGTCTCACAGACAGACATTGTCCATTGCTAAACCCTTTGTATGTGTCTAGTCTCTGTAGACAAAGTGTACATCATGGACCATGAATATTTGGGCTAGTGAAAACATCATATTTTCTTCCCTTTCTCTTCTCTTTCTTTCATTTTTTTCTTTCATTACTTTTTTTCCTTTAAATTCTTTTTTATTTAATTATGCTCATTTATTAATTGTACCCAATATCAGGTTCCATTTTGACACTGCTCTAGGTGCATTAATGTGCATTGATCACATCCATTCTCCCTATTCTACTGTCTTATCCCCCAACCCCTCTTCTGGGCACCTCTGCCTTTCTAATACTCCATCACCTCCTATCATCTTTTTTCTGTACTTTCCATATATATCAATAAATGTGACACTTGTCTTTCAGTGTCTGGCTTGATTTACTTACAGTGATGATTTCAATTCCTTCAATTTTCTGACTGTAACGTGATTTTGCTTTCCTTTATCATTAATAACATTTCATTGTGTATATGCCACTTTTTCTTTATTCATTCATCCACTGATGGGCATCTATGTTGATTCAAATAACTTAGCTTCTATAGTGCTACAATAAATATTGGTATGCAAGCTGTCTCTGTTTTATGGTGACTTTAACTAATTTGAGAAATACATAATGGAGTGATTTATGGTACCTCTATTTGTAGTTTTATTTTGGTGTTTTAAAGGAATCTCCATATTGATTTCATTGTGGCTGTACTTATTTACATTACCACCCAAAAATATGTAAGGGTTTCATTTGCCTTGTATCCTCATCAGCATTTATTTTACCTTATATTATTGATAATATCATTTTGATTGGGGTGAGATGGAATCTCAACATAGTTCAGATTTGCCAATCCCTAGTGACGATAGGTATTATTTTTCATACTTCTTTCAAACGTCTTTTGGAAAGTTTCTGATCAGACTTTTGCCCCTTTTTCTGAGTTCCTGTTATTTCTCAGTATTAACCATCAGTCAAATGAATAGCTGAGTAAGACTTTACCCCATTCTGCAGGCTGTAACTTCAGTAGGTCATTATTTCCTTGGGTATGCAGAATGCTTTTAAATTCATGAAATTCCTTCAGTCAATTCTAGTTATTATTTTCTGAGCTATTAGAGCCCTCTCAGGACATCAGTGTCTGTACCAATATCTTGAAGTGTTTCCACTGTGTTTTCTTCTAGCAGTTTCAAGTCTTACATTAAGGTCTTTGGTCCATTTTGGGGTGACATTTGCACATGGTGAGACATAGGAATCTAATTCCAATCTTCTACAATCTTCTTTTGTCCAGTTTCCCGGTATCATTTGTTGAAAGAAGCACTTTTCTCCAATGTGTGTTTTAGCTGATGTTTTAAGATGGTCTTTTTCCTAGTTCATCTATTTTTATCCACTGGACTATGCCACTCTGTTTGAAGGAGGGGAGGGGAAAGAGATGAAAAAAAGAATGAAGCTATGTTATGTACATGTACCAGATATACACAAGGAATATTATCATTACGTACTGCAAACTTATACTAATACAAATTTTTAAAATACACAAAAACAGACTATATAGGACATTTTGACATGAGGGGTTTTGGTAACACAAGCAATGTTCCTTTTTCTCATTGCTTTGACTACACAAGGTCTTCCGTATAGAGTTTTCTACATGGATTTTAATATTTTTCTCATTCTGTGGAGAATGAAATTTGTATGTTTATAATCACTTTTGATATTAGGCCCATAATAAAAATATTAGGACAGGGGTGTGGTGTCACACACCTGTAATCCCAACACTTAGGAGGCTAGGCCAACCTGGTCTACATAGTGAGTTACAGGCCAGCCTGAACTACATAGTGAGAATTTGTCTCAGAAAAATAAGGGTATTACATATTCCCAACCCAAGCATATTGGAGTTCCTTCCATCTTCTAAGGTCTTCCACAATTTCTTTCTTCAGTGATTTATAATTTTCATTTTAGAGATCTTTTTGTCATTGGGTAGGTTTATTCATAAGTGCATCTGTGTGTGTGTGTGTGTGTGTGTGTGTGTGTGTGTGTGTGTGTACAGTGTTTGGAATTTTTTTTGATTTCTTTCTTAATGAATTTGTGATTAATATATAGGAAATCTAGTCACTTTCTATATTGATATTTTTTCCTAAATCACTGCTGAATTCATCAACAGAGGAGAATTTTAGTGGACTCTAGAGATTTCTATCTATAGAATCATGGCATCTTGAATCAGGAATAATTTCAATTTGAGTTGGTCATCATTGCATCACTGCAATGAGATCAATTGGATCATGGTGTATCATTTTAATGTGATTTTGAATTCTATTTGCAAATATCTTTTGAAGTTTTTCATGGCTTTGTACATCAAGGGTATTTGTCTAGGGTTTTCTTTTTTGTTGTATCTTTACAGTGTTTTGTTAGCAGGGTAATAATGACTTCATGGAACATATTTGGAAACACTCCTCTATTTTCTGTCAAAGTTTGAGGAATATATGTATAATTTTCTCTTTAAAAGTTTAGTAAAATACAGTGGAGAATCTGTCCAGTCCTGGAGTTTACTTTGCTAGGAAACTACTAGTGCTTCAATCTCATTGCTTATTATTGATCTGTTTCAGTTGTTTATATTAACATCTTGGTTCAGTAAGATATATGTATCTAGAATCTGGTCCATTTATTTCCACTGACTTTCAAATTATTAGCAAGTTATTTTTCAAAATATTTCCTGATGATCTGTTGGATTTCAACTTGTCTATTGTAATATTTCCCTTCTCCCATAAAATTTTGTTTACTGGGGTTTACTCTTTCTTTTGCCTAGTTTTCCTAAAAGTCTGTTCATTTTCTTAACCAATTCAAACAACCAATGCTTGATAGAACTCAGGCAATGCAGGTTCAAAGTAAGGGCTACAGAACATGTTGACTTACATATTAAATAAACTAAACAAAACCTTCCTAGGCAGAGTGTAACAAATGTCTTAGTGTTCAAAACAAAACTAATATTTTTCTTTACTTCTCAACTCAATATACTTATCCAAGATTCCTGCAGGGTGATGGCAATCTCTTCTGATTGGAACCTGGAAGATACTCAGACCTCCTTGCCCAAGTGTTCATTCTCCCTTTAAGGAGAGTATGTCTGATCCTGGCTTCAAAGTGATACTGTCCTGCTGATCATATCTGAGTTGTCTGAGACATTTCTGTCCAATGACTATCCTTGTAAAAATACACACAGTGCTTTCTATGCCATGAAATTGTGGAGGATCTATCTTTAGTTCATGGTTTAAGTAAATCAGCCAAAACCTATGTCTTTTTCTCGAAATTCTTGTTCATCTTTTTCTCCAACTTCTTATTCATCTGGCTGGTCTTGGTTATCATAACCTGTGAAGGCCTATTTTACCAAGGTTGAGAGTGGGATTTCAGGTCCTGACACAAGTTTTGAAACTTCCTTCAAATACCTGGATAGAATGCATTATAAAATGCATGGCTGTTAGGGCTCTCACCTCTGATGACCCTGGGTCAGTTTTAGTACACATTAAGTAGCCCTCTAACAAGTGATATAAAAACAGTAGTACTATGCTCTCTTTCTTACATGATCTCTTTGACACTATCATAATTGATAGGTGTAACTTGTCAACTTCCCATTCCTCCTGTAATACAAGATGAAAACTTTCCAACCTCCCTTTATGGATAGAATTTTCAGGTCTCACTGAGGGTCTTAATGGGGAACCGAATACTCCCGAGGCCTATGAACACCATGGCACAAAAGGTTAGCTCCCAACATATCAGTACTTCACCAGCAATTCTAAGAATATGTACTTTAAAAATTTAGGAAAAGAACAACACTTTAAAGTGAAAAATATATTTCTTCAGATCAGGAGGATAATAATGAGTAACTCAGAGGATAATAATGAGTTAATGAAGTATAATAATTCCTTCAAGGCAGGACAAAAGATGTGCTCAACTGAAGAAATTCATCACTAAATTCACCAAGATATTCCTAAAAACTAATACACTTTTGTTTACACTGAAACATGTTTAAAACTGAGAAAGGAAGATGTGATCTGATAGCTTCTTCATCCCCCTAAAAACTTCCCATAATGGGAACAGATTCCCCTGAATCAAGTGAGGTGTTGGAGGAGCACAGGAGCCCAGCACTGTGAAACAACTTGTAGCACTGCCCCTTGGGCATAGAGGAGTACAGGAGCCAGCCACATTAGTGCCAGTCCCGCCCACCTCTGGCCACTGGGCCATGCCATCACCTGACACCACAGAAGGATGGGTCAGAAAGGCCATTGTTCTGAGGTCCAGAAGATAGAGAAGAAGTGAACAAGAGAAAGAGGGCCTCTCTGAGGCTCCTTGATGAAAATTGAAGCACATGGGAAAAGTGAAGAAAATCTCTGCAATAGAGGCACATGAGACCACCTTATTTGGTAAGGTGAAGGGATCACCACCTCCCATCGGAACCTGGACTAACTTCAATGAAATGGCAGCTGGAACCTGCAGCAGAAACTTTCAGAGTTCAACCCAGCAGGGGGTCAGAGAACTCAACTTGGGCCTTGAAGCCAGAAATCAGCCTGAATCTCTGGGGACAGCTTCTGGGATGCTAAGAGTAATTGACTTAGAACTTCACACTCCTGCACATGCTGTCTATTATGACAGAAGAGACATACCCTGAAGGAGGTCTTTTATTTTATTTTTTTTATTTTCAAAGCTATTTTTATATTTTCTTAATTGTTTCTTCTATTTTCACATTTATTTTTTATTTTATTTCTTCTTTTTTGATCTTCTCTCTCTCCCTCCCACTCTCTCTCCCACTTTGTTCTTCATCTCTCTTGCCTTTTGTTCTTGTTCCT